TCAAGTAATCTGACATAAAAAAGCATGTGATACTGATGTAACAGGTGTATTTTAAGGAAGCATCAGTGTTACATGTAATCTTACTGACAGACATAAGGCACCAATGTTACATGTCTTACTGACAGACATAATGCACCAGTGTTACATGTCTTACTGACAGACATAAGGCACCTGTTTTACATGTCTTACTGACAGACATAAGGCACCAGTATTACATGTCTTACTGACAGACATACGGCTCCAGTTTTACATGTCTTACTGACAGACATAAGGCACCAGTGTTACATGTCTTACTGACAGACATAAGGCACCAGTATTACATGTCTTACTGACAGACATACGGCACCAGTTTTACATGTCTTACTGACAGACATAAGGCACCAATGTTACATGTCTTACTGACAGACATAAGGCACCAGTGTTGCATATAAGTCTTTCGGACAAATTTAAGTAAAGTGAAATAAAACCACTACGTTAATGGAGAAGCTCTTCTAACAGTACTGTTGCTCCCCTTTGCATTTGTCTCTTAAAAAACAAGTGTGATCATCACTTCTTTATCTCTACATTATCATTATCTTCCTCCTTTCCTTCCTCCTCTCCTTTATCTTTGTCATTATCGTTATGTACTTCACTGTCCCTGCTGGTTACATCCTTCACAGCCATTTCATTGGAGAGTTCTCTTCCTCTCCAGGGCTAGTTTTTAATGGCTGCAGTACTTAATTTGCCCGTTTTTTGTTGCATTTTGGTTCTGTAAGGGGTTATATCAGATGTGTTTATCTGGTTTCTTTCCTTTATGATCCACAGTTGTGGGTACGTATCAGTTTAAGTTTGTGGAGTTGTAGAGTGACCCAAGGCATCTAGTTTCATACAATTTGTTGTTTCTAAGATTGTAAGCGTCTACAGACATATCTTACAGTTAAACTCACTGGATCTCCACATAGTCACAGGTTTTTGGCAGCTGTAGATTTTTGTCAAGAAAAAAAACTTGAGTGGCAAAAATGTTTTAGGAATAAACAAAACTCAGAAAACATTTTACTGGTGAATTAGTTCCTACAGAGTAGAAGGTTTCTTTTATCAGCTGAAAAACCAAACTTGCAACTTTTTTTCTGAGGCGCTATAATTACCTAGAATGCCATTTCTTATGCGTAAATGTCACTCAGAAAAGTTGAGATAAGTTAAGAGAAAGATAAATTATATATATAGGTTTTTATCTCGAACCTTTCACACCAGTGAAGCCGTTCTTGAGTGATAAAAAAACCCGGGACCATTAATTAATTGGCATTACAATTCCATTCTGACTGGAAATGTTCCAGAATATCTTGCTGGCTATATATACTCAAATAAATGAATGAAATACTTGGCCAGTTGAAAAGTGTTACATAAAATGCTATTCATATTGTGAAATTTTCTACAAATTGTTGTTTAACTATGATTCAAAGGGCATATGTCTTGAAGTGACAAAGTTGCATTTAGAGCACTGTTATAAATTCCAGGTCAATTCCTCCACCATCTAAGGTCTAGTTCTCCTATATATATATATATATATATTAACATTAGGTACTAGCTGTGAAATGTCCCCTCCACCAACCATATCCCACTGATACCTGTATTCTCAACCCACAACCTACCTACCACCTCTAATTTACCTAATACTAATATATCTGTATCCACTCCCCACCCCCAATCCCCTCCCTCTTACTATAACCAGAATATTCAGATACCTGTGTCCCTCCATTGTCCCACCCACCCCCACCCTGTGACTCCATTCTCCCCCTACCCATGACTCCATGTCCCTCCATTCTCCCCCACCCCGTGACTCCATGTCCCTCCATTCTCCCCCAACCTGTGACTCCATGTCCCTCCATTCTCTCCCACCCCGTGACTCCATGTCCTTCCATTCTCCCCCACCCCCACT